TTCAACAACTTGGAAAATGAATTGAATCATACACCGGGGTTAAACGGGGCCAGGGAGAACCCTTTATTAACTTTTTACAAAGATTAACTAAGACTGTACAAATAGGAGTAACAGACCCAGATGCTAGATGAGTATATTTATTGAATCTCTGGCTTTTGAAAATGCCAACTTAGAATGCAAAAAGATGCATGAGCCTTTAAAGGTTAGATCAACACCTAAGGATGAATGGAACCTGCATACAATAAATATTGAGACATTTGACTATAATACTGAAACTTGGGTAGGAGAAGCACTTTCCAAAGGAATGAGGAAACATCAAAATGCCAAATGTTTTAATTGTGGTAGAATAGGACGTCTGCGACGTGATTGTAGAGAAGGAATTCCTAAGAATAATATCTTTTCTGGAAATGGCAGTAATAGAAGACTCAGCCTTCAGGTATATTTAGAAGGTGTGGCAGAGGCTGACATTGGACCAAAGAATGCATGTCACAAGAGTCCCAGAACCTTCATCTGGCGATGGATGGAGATAGAGACAGAGACCCACATTGGAACACTGGACTTAACTCCCTAGGTCCAAACGAGAAGCAGAAGGAAAGAGAACGTGAGCAAAGAAGGCAAGACCAGAGGGAACCTTCATCCGACGATGGATGGCGATACAGATGGAGACCCACATTAGAGCATCGGACTGAGTGCCCCATGGTCCAAATGAGGAGCAGAAGGAGGAAGAACATGAAAATGGAAATCAGGACCGCGAGGGGTGCGATCACCCACTGATACAAGGGGACTGATCTAATGAGAGCTCACCAAGGCCAGTTGGACTGGGACTGAACGAGCACATGATCCAACCAGATTCTCTGAATGTGGCCAGATTCTCTGAATGTGGCTGGCCTGGAGTCTTTCTGAAAAGCCATTGACAATGACACTGGGCCTTGTTTCCTCTGTATATACTGGATTTTTGGGATCCAGTCTGTTTGAATACTCACCTTCCTGGACCTGGTAGGAGTGGGGAGGAACTTGAACTTCCCACAGGGAGGAAACCCTGACTGCTCTTAGGGATGGAGAGGGAGGAGAAGAGTGAGTGGGGGTAGTGGGAGGGTGTTGGGAGGAGGGGCGGAAATGGAAACTTTTATAATTTAATAAACTTTGAAAAAAAAAGAATGCATGTCAACAAAATACAGAGAAAGCAACTTGATACCATCAGGAAACTCTTTGAGGGGCCACTCGCAGGCTCCTAAACCAAAAGTGGGCTAGTCATTCCCATGTCTCGCCAGGAAAATTATAAAATCCAGAGCCCTCTGTAAAAGACCATACTCTTCTGGATGGTAAAATAAACATGTAGGATAGATCAAAAATTCCAATAGAATATAGGAAATGTATATTTTGGCAGACTTCTATAAATGATCAAGGACCAAAACTAAGAGTGCTTATAAATGGTTTTGGAATTTTTGGTTTGATAGACACATGTATGAATGTGATGATCATTACTCCAGAATCTTGGTATCTGAATTGGCCTCTTCAAGAGGCAGATATTCAATTACTAGGAACTGGAACAGTATCTCAAGTTAAACAATACACAAAATGGGTTGACTGCCTAGGGCCAGATGTTTAGAGAAGGAAGCTGAGGTCATATGTACCTAATATTGCAGTAAATTTATGGGGTTGTGACCTTCTGCAGCAATGGAATACCCAGATTAACATTCCTGCACTCCCAAGAACTCATAATTCTTGGAAGGATATTATAAGCTATTATGCACAAAGGTCAGAAGCCATTCAGACTGTGCAAGCAACTAGAAAACCCTTAGAGATACCAGCAGCCCTACCTTTAAAATAGTTAACTGAGAAACCAATATGGGTTAAACAATGGCCTCTAACTGAAGAAAAGCTGAAAGCTTTAGAAAAGCTGGTACAAGAGCAACTAGATGCTCACCATATTGAAGAATCAACGAGCCCTTGGAATTCTCTTGAATTTTTTGTTAAAAAAGAAATCTGGAAAATGGAGAATGGTGAGAGATCAAAGAGCTGTCAATAAGGTTATTAAATCTATGAGTCCTTTACAATATGGGATTCATTTGCCCTCTCTATTACCAAAAGGATGGCCTCTTATAGTTATTGATTTGAAAAATTGTTTCTTCACTATACCTTTACATGAAAAGGATAGAGAAAAATTTGCCTTTACAGTGTCTAGTTATAATAATTCTCAGTCTTCTAGGAGATATCAATGGACCATTCACCCACAGGGAATGCTCAATAGCTTTACTTTTTGTCAATACTTAGTCAGCAATAAGAAATAATACATAAGGAGTTTCCTGTGTCTATACTCTACCATTATACTGATGACATTTTGTTATCTAATTAAAATGAAAATATTTTAGAAAAAATGTTTGAAGAAATATAGAAAGTTTGGCCTAAATAGGGATTACAAATTGTTCCTGAAAAAATACAGAGAGGAGATTCTGTCAATTATCTAGGTTATAAAATATGTTTACAGAAAATTAGAACATAATAGGCACAAATTAGAAGAGACTGATTTCAGACTCTTAATGAATTTCAAAGATTGTTAGGAGACATTTCCAGTCTACCACCGACTTTTGGGATAGCACCTGATCTAATAATTTATTAAAAAAAAAACCTTAGAGGGTGATAAAGATGTGAATACTTCTAGAGAATTAATAGCTAAAGCAGAAAAGGAATTGACAATAGTTGAGGAGGAATTACAGAAGTCACATATGGTAGGGTGAATTCAAAACATAATTGTATTCTAGTCACATTGCACTCTAGAATTTCTCCAATAGGAAATTTAATGCAGAGAAATGATATTATTTTAGAATGGACGCTTTTTACCATATAAACCAGGTAAAAGTGAAAAACTTATGTGGAAAAGGTCTCTGAATTAATTATAAAAGGTAAATGAGACTTTGTCAATTAGCAGGTATTGACTCAGCAGAGATGATAGAGTCTTTTACTACTGATGAAATAAAAAAAAGTTATGGCAAGACAATGAATCCTGAGAAAGAGCTTGTGCTTTTTTTTTTTTTTTTGGAGAAATCAATGGCAATTATCCCAAAAGTGAAAGATTTAACCTTAAAAAGAAAATTTCTTGGATTCTTTCCAAGAATTTTCAAATTGTATGTGATGCTCCAAATAACTGGAGCCTGTACATTTTATTCTGATGCAAATAAATCAGGAAAAACATATTGCAAATCAGAAAATTTAAATAAGGTAGAACAAAGTCCTTATAATTCTGTCCAGAAGGCAGAACAGTATCTATTCTCATGGTGCTAATGTTTTTTCTGTGTCTTATATTCTTTGTTTGTCTTTTCTCCTGACCATTATCCATAGCAGCTTGTAATCAACATTCTAAACAAAGGAAAGTATTCATAGTCCATTTGTGGACATGTGGGTGTAGTTTTCCAGGCTACTTCCTGCTGCCTGGGGGCACTGATAATCTTATGGGGACCTAAAGAAAGTTTAGTATTATGTTCAAGTCATGACAGGAATATCCTCTAAAGCTTGATCATCTCAGGCAGCAGTCTTGAGGCTGCTATCTGGGCCATCTGCTCCTACAGGAGATTTCTTAGGAGTCTTCCTTGATCAAACCTTATTTTTCTTAGACCAGAATAAATCCATAGTCTCTCATTTTCTGTGGAAACAACAGCAAAACATCTTATCCAAAGTAACACATCTTTTGACTTCACTTTTGAAGTCAAGGCATTTACAAAATATTTATGTTTTATTAATTCTCAGTATTTATATTTAAATGTCTTTTAGCAGCTGTTGCTCGTTTCTCAGCTGTCAAGCAATTCAAAGACAACATAATAATATATACTCTATCCATACTCTCTTTGTATTTTCCATCTTTATGTGGCTTTACTTTAAATTCTATTTCTTTTATTTTTTACTTTTAATTTTTGACTTTTTAAGACTGTGTTTCTCTGTATATCTTTGGCTGTCCTGGAACTCCTTCTGTAGACCAAAGAGACTTTGAATTCACAGAAATCTGCCTGCCTCTGTCTCCCATGTGCAGGGACTAAAGTTCTGTGCTATCACACCTTGAATCACAGAGGTCTGTCTGCCTTTGTCTCCCAAGTGTTGGGAGTAAAGGTTTGTGTTACCACACCTTGAACTCACAAAGGTCTGTCTGCCTCTGTCTCCTAGGTGTTGGGATTAAAGGTGTGTGTTACTACACCTTGAATTCACAGAGGTCTATCTGCCTCTGTTTCCCAAGTGTTGGGATTAAAAGTGTGTGTTGCCACACCCAACTACTCACTTTATTTTAAGGGCTTTATCTTTTTTTCTCCCAAGTCTACATAAATTTTAAACACACTGTAAACCATTTAGATGTTTTCTTCATCTGAATCTATCTTTACTGTATATCTCTCTTTTTCTGATCACATGAGTTGTTAATTTGCTAGGTGATATGGCTAAGATTAAATCCATAGCTTTGATGGCTGGATCAAGCCCATTCCTTAGCTTTTTGAAACTCCAACATCATGGTGGAGGTACCAGGTGGAGCTACTGCTACAACTTTACGGTGTTGTTTCAAGGTCTGTGCTGTCACCAAGAAGCATGCTGTAGGCTATTCATAAACACCATTTAAGTGTTTTGTGGCAGAGTCTCTGAAGAGGGCTGCAAAGTTTTTGCAGCTAAAGCAGAGAGTCAGGAACCCTCTCTAAAATGAGAGTGCTTACCTCTAGGAAGCAGAGGAGACCAGAGAAATTGCTGCAACCAATAAGCCATGCTTAACACTGTTATTTTGTATCTAGAATTACTTACCAAGCTCTCTCAGGTTTTCTGTGTATGCAGTTGTCCACATGTTGTGCACCATTCTATTGTCTGAGGTTTCTATCCTGCCCAGTTCCTGCTTGTCATTAAGTCCAAAAGAATCACACAGAGATCTACATTATTTATAAACTAATTGACCTAGTAGCTCAGACTTTTTATTAACTCTTATAACTTATATTAGCCCATTATTCTTGTCTGTGAGCCACGTGGCTCAGTGCCTTATTCAGAGAGGTAGTCACATCTTGCTTCTGGTTCTAAGGGATTTATAAAGAACCTCTAAATACAGTTACTGATTCACAATATGCATAAAGAGTTGTCTTTCATATAAATCCCTGAATTTATTCCAGATGATACAGAATATTCTTTCTTATTCTTACAGCTTCAAGATTTAATCAGGAATAGGCTTTGTCCCATATACACAAGACACATCCAATTCCTTACAGGTCTGTAAAGTCTTCTAGCACAAGGTAATGCAGAAATTGATTAATTATTGATCAGAAGCATGTTGCAAGCCTTGGAATTTCATAAAAAACATCATGTCAATAGCAAAGGTTGAAAGAAAGAACTTTCCATTACATGAAAATGAGCTAAGGTGATTATAAATAGATGTTCTACTTGTTTTTTCTATAACCAAACACCTTTACCTTCTGGGAGTAACCCAAAGGGTACTCAAAGGAATGAGATCTAGCAGATGCATGTGTTCTACTTTACGGAATTTGGTCAATTAAAATATGTGCACCACACCACAGACACCTATTCAGGTTTTCAATGGGCAACTTCTTAGAGCTCATAAAAGGCTGATTAAGTAATCACACATGTATTAGAAGTTATGGCCATTTTGGGTATACTTGAACAAATAAAGACAGATAATGATCCAGCATATCTCTAAGAAAATGGAACAGTTTTTGCTCATTATAATATTAGGCATATTATAGGTATACCACACAATCCTGCAGGTTAGGCAGTTAGTTTTAGAAAGATAAAATAAAAGTATAAAGGATATGTGAAACAAACAGAAAGGGATGGAAAATACCCCTAGGAATAGATTGAATAATGCTTTATTAACCTTTAATTTTCTTAACACTAATGAGAAAGTGACAATAGCAGCAGAGTGGCATTGGATAATAGAAAAGTCTTCTGAATTCAATTAGCCAGTATATTTCAAGGATGTGTTGACCTCACAATAAAAACCAGAAAATGTGCTACATTGGGTAAATGGTTTTTCTCTTCTTTCTACAGGAGAAGAAAAACTAAGGATACCATCAAAATTAATAAAGATTTGCTTTGTAAAGGGAAAACCTCTTGAAAAAAAGAAATGAAAGCTCATCCATACAGGTGAGAACCATACGGGTGGTAAGGAAGTCTCATAGGGCTGGGGAAGGGCTCTATTCTTGTCTTTGCAGGAAAATATTCATCTTCAAAAGGTCAAGAGACCCTGGACATCTAGATGCCTAAAGAGAAAAAGATAATTATCCTGATAGGATCACAAAGTGAAGAGAATTATGACTTCTGAGGACCTGTAATCTGAGGGTAAGAATCTCAAAAAATAAACTAAAATAATAATCATGATTCATTTAAAAATCAAAGCTGACTTTGGAATTGGACACTGGCTCTGTCCTTCTCTATATCCAAGCATGTTGTTAAAATAAAAATTCAGTGATTCTGTCTCATGTCAGGGGCCATGATCTGTGAAAAAAAAAGAAAAAAAAATCCAGGAAAAATTTTTATTTTTTCTCATACCTATTTTGTCTCTACTATATCTTTCATTGAATATATATGTCTATATAAATAATGCTTAAGTTTTCCTCAATGAACAATCAATTTTTCTGCTGTAACCTTTGATGTTTCCAGGAAGAAGATAGGGCCACACAACAACAACTGCATCTGGTTGATATGATGTCTTGATGCTGATAGCACTACTATAAGACCTGTTTTGAGTACCAGCAGCTCAAGATGGTTTCAATTTGGTTAGCTAAAATGATGCACTTTTTTTTTACAATGTTCTGGCCAGAAATCCAAATAGAAACCTTAGAAAAACCCTGCTGAATACTCAAAGACTATTTTGCAATCATACCAGACAGTAGTAATCTTGGAACTTAACCATTACTTTTCATTCACAGGATTCTATAAAAAGAACATGCCCCCATGACAACTGGAAATAATTATAGAAGACAAGGTCTCTTCTCACAACAAAGTTTGTTCTTATGGTTAGGGACATAATTTAGGGGTTGTTATAATTGGTATAGGGTTGGGGGTTGGGGAGGAAATTATGTAGGCTCAGGGATCTCTTTGAAAAAAATTGGGAATTGGATGGGATAATTGATTAATGTGAGCTTACTTACACTAATAATAATAATGAGAAATACAGTGAATACTGGTGAGGAATTATTTATAGGCGATTTACATTGGTATAGATTCTTGCATATTGATACAAACTTAAATTATATTGAATATGTTACTATTTTTGTCTGCAATATTTGTATGTCTAGGCAAAATTATTTTGTCATATTATATGTATGCATGTTTCTACCTCTGTTTAAAACATTTTTTGTATATTGATACAATTTTAGGATATATTTATCATATTGCAATGTACATTTCTATCCCTGATCAAGATGCTTATACATTGTTTACATTTTGAGGTCATTGTCCTCATTTGTAGCACATTTGTTTATTGTATAATATTCTAATATAAAGTCTTAGACTTTAAGTTATATAGTTTTTTAAGAAATATAGATAAAAAGTCTTCTATGTTTGTCATACTTACAGTTAGACAATTCAGGTTCTTTAGATACATAGAGATTGTATTCTGCATATATAGGTAACCTTCAACCACTTCAAAGAGCTGTAGAATATGGCATTTAAATAATTTAGGATTATGTTGAAGTAAGACGTGATTGTTCCTGACAGTTCTGATCTATTCCAGAGAGAATGTTGAGCACCAGCGACACTCCACTTGGAGCTTGTTTACTTCTTTTGCAAAAGTGACCTTTGGGCAAGAAACTGCCCATGCATTGGCCACTGACAAAATGCACGCTGTCTAGACAGGACAAGCAGGATACAAGAAAAAAGACTGTCAAATCTTGTCAAGACAGGGTAAGATGGTTTTGAAAAATTTCTTGCCTCTGAAAATGGTGTGTCAGTTACTCTAGGCCTTAGCCAAAGTTGGTTGTTCCAACACTGAAAATGAGATATTGGGTGATTGCCCAGGTAGCCAGTTGTCTCTGTCATTTGTTGTACATTTTGGAAGTTGTTTGATTACACTTTCTGCTTTCTCAAGTAATATTATTTCCCTTTTTAGATCTTCGATGGGATTGAAGACTAGATAGTTGTAGTTACTTTCCTCTCATGACTTGGCCAAGTTATTTATTATACAAGATATAATCTCATTAGGCTAGAATAATTATTGAATCATTTATCACATGTTTCTTGTTGATATATTTGTTTTTATTGTATATAATTTTGTATTAGGCTTAGAACTCTCTTATTTAAATGAAAGGGGGAGTGGCTGTAGGAATTCCTACCACCAGTAGCCTTTAAGTTACTCACCCACTTGGACGTGGCTTCTTATACTATTTATGCCAATGTAAAGTACATATCCGGCCTCTTTTTCAGCTGTGGGATTCGGTTGCTGGTCCCTGTTCCAACAGAGGGTTGTGATTTGTGAGTCTACCCATAAATAAATAACTCTCTATTATTCTCAATTCTGAGCTAGTGTGGGATTTCTTTTAAGCGCCTTTCTTCTTGTATTAGTCCATATTTTCTGTCTGTGTTAGCCAGGTGGCTTGGTACCTTTTTCATCAAGGCATTCTCATCTTGCTTTCTCTGCATCTCGGTGATGACTGCAAACTAAATCCCTCTTCTTCCCAGAATTCTGTTCTCATAGCCCTACCTCTACTTCCTGTCTGATCACCCCATCTACTTCCTGCCTGGCTACTGGTCGATAAGCATTTTATTAAATAGGTACAAAATACAAATTTTTACAGAGTAAAACCATTGTCCCACGGCACACTCTATCTCTCTTAGAAAAGGAAAGGCTTCTAAATGATAACAAAACAGAACAAAATAAAGTACAAGACAAAAAATATCACATTGAAGTTAAACAAGGCAAATCATTCGAAGGAAAAAAACTCAAGAGGAGGCACAGGAACCAGAGACCTACTTGTTCACATACTCAGGTATCTTATAAAAATAAAATCCTGAAAACTATGATATGTATGGTAGAGGACATGGTGAAAATCTGTGCAGGCCCTGTGTTTGCTCCTTCACTCTCTGTGAGATGATATGAGCTTTGCTTGACTGATTTAGAGGATTCTTTCTTTTCTATCCCCTTGGCTCATATATTCTGCCTCCTCTTCCACATGATTCCCTGAGATTAGTGGGGATGGATTTGATGGAGACATCCCATTTACGACTGCGTGTTCCAAAGTCTCTTTCTCTCTGAGTAATGTCTAGGTATTGATCTCTGTATTTGTTCCCATTTGCTGTAGGTGGAAGTTTCTTTGTTGAAGGCTGAGTAACACAATGATCTATAAGTATAGCAGAATATTATTAGGAGTAATTTTATCACTACTTTTTGATTTTTAAGCCCAGTAGTATCTGGTTTTACAGTAGGTCTCTGGGTTATCTGGTCTTTGGAACACGGACACCCAAGCAGTGTCATTTAGGAGTTTCATCTCATGGAGTTGGCCTTAGCCAATTTAGATATTGGTTTGTTACCCCAACTATGTTAGATCAAAGATGGATCAACAATTTATTTATAAATTTCTTTTATTTTTTGAGTCCATAGTATAATATAATCAGTTCTCCCCTCCCTTTCCTTTGTCAAAATTAGCATAATTTTCTATTTATATTTCTTTCATATAGTATGCTACGGACCGGCTCAGGGGAGCCACTCAGACCGTGGGGGAATCAGGGCGAAGGCACAGGAGAAATCAGGATACGGCGAGGAAAGTGACAAACAGACCATTCTGAATGTATTTGAGACATGCTGTTGTGCTTTACTTATTCAGTGCAAGGTTTTTATATTATTATAAACAAAGAACTTGGCAAAGGCATACATCATCAGATCATAAAATATAAAAGAACAGCATAAAACAGTTTCACAAAGAGAATCTTTAAAGATGCTTTGGCATGAGTACAAGGACTTTCGCTTCCTCACATTCTGTAAAGTTACCTTTCTTTTTCCTTGTTATTAGAGAGACCATTGTTCTTGAGTTAGGCCACCTTTTTTTAGCTTGTACTAGGTGGCTGACTGGGCTCAGCTAAGTGACCTTGTGTGTCTGGGTGAGAAAGAAAAAGGCTACTATCTTTCTGGGAAAACTTTCTGCTAGGAAACTTTAAAGACATGATTTCAAATTTGTCTGAAATTCATTTTATACCATTAATCTCAACTCCCTTTCCTTCCCGACTCTCAGGGTCAGATGTTATAATTAGCCTAGGTTTTCTGGCCATAAGGAAGGTTGCCTAATGCTGTTTTCCTGTAGAAGGTTTTTAAGGTTTTTCCTGCTAAGATTAACTCCTTTTATTCCACATCATCAAGGAATTGTCCTAATGATGATTTTGGCAATTCCCAGAACTGGCTACTTTTTTAAGGCTTTAATTAATAGTGGAGCCGAATTCAAAAATGTCCTCAGCAGTCTTGTTTATATCTGCAACTGCCTGGAATAGTCTGATCTGATAGCAATATGCAAGGATCACAAAGGACACACAGACAAGGGAAAAGACACACTTTATGGCTCCAAGGACAGCGAAGTCGAGTCAGTACAAATGGCGACTCAGTTGGCATTACACCACAACTGATTGCTACGGGGCAGCCACATCTCCGTGGAGTGCGGATCCCAATCCTCCAGCAATATTTGCCTGCCTAGTCAGCATTTCTGCTACACTGGCGAGACAGCTGTGGATGTAGCAATAGTACATCCCAACTGAAGTCTCCCTTTGTTCCCCTTTTCCCAGACCCTCAAACTCCCCTCTCCCCCATATTCATTGTGCCTCTGTTTTCATACAGAAAAGAACTGATACCAACTAATCATGACATAGCATGATGCAATAAGACTAGGCATAAATCCTCATCTCAAGACTGGCTGTGACAACTCAGTAGGAGGAAAAGAGTCCCATGAGTAGGAAAATGAGTCAGAGATACCCTCCACTCCTACTATTAGGAGTTCAACAAAAACCCCAAGCTAAACAAACAACCATAGCATGCATGCGGAAGACCTTGTACAAACTCACAAAGACTTTGTGATTACTAATTCAGTCACTGTGAACCCCTATGAGCCCTGCTTTGTTGATTTTGTGGGCTATATTTCCCTGGTGTTCTTTACCTCTCTGGTTCCGATAATCTTCCTCCTTGTTTTCTCCTGAGTTCCCTACCACTGCTTAATGTTTGACTGTGGGTCTTTGTATCTGCTCCCATCAGCTGTTGAGAAAGCCTCTCTGATGACATTTGGGTTAGACATAGCTCTATAAGTATAGCAAAATATTATTAGAAATTGTTTGATTGAATTTTTTATTTTCAGTTATGTTTGATTCAGTCCTAGGTCTCTGAGCCATCCAGTTTCTGGATCCTGACCATCAAGACAATGTTGGTCTTAGGATCCCTCTTGTGGCTTGGGCCTAAAGTGTGACCAATCATTGGCTGGCCACTCTCACAAGCTCTGAGCCACCATTTCCCCAACATATCTTGTAGGCACAACAGGTTATAAGTCACAGGTTTTGTGACTGGGTTGGTGTTCTAGTCCCTCTACTGGAAGTCTTACCTGGTTACAGAGGATGGCATGTTCAGTTTTCATATATCACATTGCTAGGAGTCTTAGTAGGTTCACCCTTGTCTATTCCAGGAAGTTACCATTACACCATGTTTCTACCTTGCTCCTGAAATGACCCACTTTTCCAGTCATTTCTTCCAGTACTCTCTCTCTCCCTCCCTCCTCCTTCCCTCACCCCTCCTATTCCCATTATCACCCACCCCCATTACACCAGAAAAAATTATTTTATTTTCCCTTCCAATTAGTTACTCATTACAAGACAGTCAGGACTGGGCCAAGCACATATTTGCTGCCCTATAAAGACAGAAATAATATCTTCTTTGTTGGAGGACCTAGAAGCATGAATTCTAAACAGCAGACAGTGAGACTAAGTGATGGTCACTTCATCCCTGTACTGGGCTTTGGTACCTATGCACCTCAAGGGGTAAGGGCAACATAAGGGGCTCAGGGTTCAAGAAAAAAGAATGTTTGGCTTGGCTAAGTGGGATTGTTATGGTATGTGCAGTCATTGAGTTCTGATGTGATTTAGTTGGGCTAACCTGCTTCTTTGTTTTACCATGGTAGAACTGTTCCTTGTACAAGGACAAGGCAGAATGCACTCAGCATCAGGGCTGTTACATGAGTTTTGCAGGAGAATTTGAGGGCACTAGTTTTTCCTTCCATTTTTCTCTATCCTAAATAGGGAGAAAGAATGAAATCAAGCCTTCAAGAGCACTGCAGGAAAATCAATGATACTGAGTTCTGAGCATGTTTTTTTTTATTTTAAATTTGTTTATTTCACATCCTAACTGGAGTATCCCCCTTTTCTCATTGCATTCCCTCACAGAACAACCCCCTGACCCACCCAGTTCACTCCTCCTCTATGTCTCTTCAGAAAATGGCAGGCTTCCCATGGAGATCGAAAAGTCATGGCATATCAAGTTGCAGAAAGACTAAGTACCTCCCTAAGTCTTAAGGCTGGGCAAGGTGACCCAATATGAGGAATAGGGTCCCAAATGTCAGACAAATAGTTAGAGACAGCCCTTGCTTCCACTTTTAGGAATCCCATAAGAAGACCAAGCTACAGAACTGTCATATATATGCAGAGGTTCTAGGTTAGTCCTATGAAGGATCATTGCTAGTCAGCTCAGACACTGTCAGCTCCTTTGTGAGAAGCACAGTTTATTCTGTGGGTTTTCTTGTGAGGTCCTAGATCTCCCTGTCTTCTATAAGCTTTCTTCCTTCTCTTCAACATGATTCTCTGAGCTGGGCCTAATATTTGGCTGTAGGTCTCTGTTTCTTCTCCAGTTGCAGGATGCAGCCTCTCTGAAACAAATTAAACTCTTAAAAAGTGCTTGTTGGCAAGCCCTGGTTCTTTTTTCTGAGATGTATGCTTATATATTTATCCATTTTAAAACTGTATTCTTCTTGTTGATGTGCTTTAAAGATGTCAACTTGACATTAGTCAAGTACATTTGATAGAAGCGATTGTCAACTAAGACATTGTCTCCATAAAATTTGACTTTAGAAAATTTCTTTTTAAGGTAGTGATTGATGTGATAGGGCTCAGCCTATTGTGGGTGGTAGCATCCTGGTGGTGGTCCTGGGTTCCTTAAGAAAGTAGACTAAGCACGTCAAAAGGAGCAAGCCAGCAAACAACAATCCTCCATGGCCTCTAAGTCAGCTCCTGCCTTCACGCACCTTCCCTAGAGTTTCTTCCCTGACTTTGTTGAGTGATGGAGTGTGATCTGAGAGTTATAAGATGAAATAAAACTTTTCATCCACAAGTTGCTTTTGGTCTTGGTGTTTTATCACAGGAATAGAAATTCTAAATAAAACAACAAATGTTGTGGAAAATATCTACTTTTTCCTGTATCTCCCTGAATTTTACTTAGCAATGCAAACTTCCTTATATGTTCACTACATTGCTATTTCATTTTCCTTCTTTAATGCAGTATAGATTTTAATAAAATTTAGCCAATTAAATAAAAGCTTGCTTTTTTTATTAAATCACAATTCCTATAAACTAAGAAACTGTAGGTTAAACGAGGACATGCCCCTAAATATTTTTATGTACAATGTCCTTAATTTTCTAGACGAGGATTTGTGCTTTGAGTACAATCTTGCTGAGAGTTTTTATTATTTTTATGCAAAAAATGTCTGTGTGAAAACAATTTATATCATATTTCTATCTTTTCAAATTTCTGTTGAGAAATTGAACCTTAGATGATCCCTGGGAATGTTGAAATCTTCTCATTTCATAACAAGGATGAAAACTTTCCATGAACTGTCTATGTAAACAGTAGGACTCATGTGTGCATTCTTTCATCTGGGATGAACTAGGGGTTATTTATCAAGCTACAAATTAACAGCTTAGAAATGAGAACTAAATCATTTATATTTAAATACTTTTATTTTGTAAATTCAGTGTTAGGTACTTTGATGTATTCTTTTTCACTTCCCTGGAAGAAAGCTCATAGAAGAGTCTATAGTGTTTCTTCTTTGTGTGGTCTCATGCCCTTTTACTTTTATAAAATGTATGGTGTCATATACATAGGCATCCTTCTAGCACACATAATTTCCTGTGGTGTCGGTGGGGACCCTAATGCCAATTATATGTATTTAACTGGACAAATTGACTGGTTCCTGGGTACTCTTACTCTTGTGACTCAGTGGAAGAGGTCTAGACAGACTTGGTTGGATTATTCACTGCAAATGGATACCTCACTGAAGACATGGGGAAGCTTTATGCTGAAGATGTTTTGTTGTTATGCCTTAAAAATACTAAGTCATATCTATCTCTAAATACTGCTTTTGGTTGATCTTATAGGTACCCAAAGCTAAGGTTACAGAAGCCACCAAAATAGCTATAGATACAGGTTTCCGGCATATTGATTCTGCTTCTATGTATCAAAATGAAGAGGAGGTAGGGCTGGCCATCCGAAGCAAGATTGCAGAAGGCACTGTGAAAAGAGAAGATATATTTTACACAACAAAGGTATTGACAAATAAATAAAATGTGATGTCCTGAAGGGATGTTATATGATCAGTGAATTGTAGTGGAATACCAAAATTGGCCATTATTATAGAGAAAGTTGCTAGCTTTAACTATCTCATCAGTGTCTTTAAATTTTTCAGTGGGTGTTAGAGTTCTTTTGTTCTGAGTCTCAGTTCACTAGAGCATGATTTAAAATGAACTGAAAAACTGGCTATTTTTATTGATTGCATGAATAACTATAAAATTTCTCAATACCAGAACACTAGTTCTCTCTTTTATCAATAAATACAATATTATAAGAATATACTTTTGCTGTTAAAGAAGATACAATTAATTATAGGATACATGATATTATATTGTATAATTATTATTATATAACAATCAAATATAGTATATAAACATGTGTTTTTATTATGTAACTATAAAATATTATATATATACAATTCTATAATAAGTTACTTATCCTATAACTAGGAAAAATGGATCTTGAAATATTTTCCATTCAGATATATAAACAAATTAGGCATGAATTTTTCCACATTGAGTTGATTGGGCAATCATATTACACTCTTACTTTCTTCAGTAAAGATATTGTTGTTATAAGTAGAACAGAAATCTTAAAAACAGTAAGAAATCTATGAATGTACCTCCATAAGTTTTCAGCAGTTATCATTATTTTTCTTTATAGGCTGTATATAATTGTGTCTATTATACTTATCTGAAACTGTTACTATCACCACAGAATTCTGAGTAATGTGTTGTGCTATGTCGTTATGATGGCTAGGACGTCATTAGGCAATGGGAGTAGTTCAGCTCAACAATAGTCTTATAGAGCACCATTGCATGTGTGGATCATTTCTCACAAATACTTTGTTATGTAGCACATGACTATGTGCTCTGCATTTGTATTTTGATGTTTCTTTTGTATGTAGTTTCCTATAAAAACAAAACTGCATTGTTCTACATTTTTTAAAAATTCTCACATTTCCAAATCAAGCTGTTACTGGGGTTTTTGTTGTTGCCAAAGGCTGTGATCTCAAAGTGAGTGTTCAGGCCATATAAATATGTTGATTTTTTTTCTTATGATGGCATTCTTTACTGGGAGGAAATTGAAATAAAGAAACCGGAAATTAACCTAAAATGATACTTTAAAATCTTTCTAAATGCTTGTTACCCGTCTAGTAAAACTGTCCAGTAACTTATTTTTTAGACTATCCGATTTTATCCACGTGTGATTTAAAAAATATTTACTTGTTGTATGTGTATTTGTATTTTGATTGCATGTATGTTACATGTACCATGAGTGAGCTTTATACCAGCAGAGGCTAGAAGCAGGCATCAAATCCCCTAGAACTGGAGGTAAAGAAGGTTGTGATCTGTCACATGGGTGCTGGGAACCAAATCAGGCCTATCTACAATCACTGTCTTGCTAACACGTCTCTCTAACCCTCCATGCTTTATTTTGAGGTTGTATACTTTTATTCAGCTTCTTTTTACATAGACATAGCAGCATTGCTTCCTATTCCTGTGATGATAATGAAGGATGAAAGCACAAGTGGCAATAATTATTCCTTAACCAATCATTTAAAACCTGAGACCCCAACTAACAATTCAGAGTGAGCAAATGCAGACCACCACATTTTCCTGCTGATAACACAATATGTCATTCTGGAAAAATTTTAAATGGCTATTTAGACATAGAGAAACAGTAACCATGATGTTCTAGAGAACAGTTCCTTCATGGTTGCTGATTTATTATAAAGTGACTGTTCCCATAGTATTCTTGGGAATCCTGGTACATTGCGAAGACATTTATGTAAGGTGAATGAGGTCATTTACATTACAAACAATAGTTATGAGTGAGGTTAGAGTTACTTCATATATATTAATATAACACAACACACCATAATGAACTTTATGTAAGAAATGTTATAGTATATTAGAATCCAAAATTGTTTTCTTAATTCAGCAAAATTAAATTTTTATGATAAACACTATAATTTCTTGATGAAAGTTTTGGGACTTGAGTAATATCCAAGAGTAAGTTAAAATGAACAAACATTTAAGAGATGTCTGTGGATAGATAAAATGAATAAAATTCAAGGGGAATAGGAATAGTTTGTCCTATGGTCATCAATGTCACAGCACTTGAAAAATGTCTCTAATAAGTAAACTTACATAGCAAACTCTTGAAATTTTATAATACAGTGTCAATTCCTTTCTTCATCTTTCATAGCTTTGGTGTACTTTTCATCGTCCAGAGCTGGTGCAGCTTTGCTTGGAACAGTCACTGAAGAAACTCCAGTTGGATTATGTGGACCTGTACCTCATTCATTTCCCAGTGTCTCTCAAGGTATGCAGATGGGATCACGAAATTTTTTTTTCATTAATGTTAACACTTTCCTGATTGGTTGAATTCCACTTCTATAAAGTTTTAAAACAGCATTTGGTTAATTTTAGAAAATTCTTATAATTTATGCAAAGGAGTTAATAGGATTATGTGCATGAATAGCCTAAGCCTTGAATTTGGTATTCTAAGTAATCTTTAAAAGTGTCTTTGCTTTTTTAATTTCTGACCTGTGTATTATTATAAATCTGCTCATTTGTTTTAAAAGCTATTTTGGTATTATTTCATATGTGTGATTGTTTTCCCTGAACATGTTTTCACCAAATTTGTGTGTGGTACCCAAAGAGGCCAGAAGATGGCATTGAGTTCCCTGGGATGGGAGTTATAAACAGTTATGTGTTGTCATATGAGTGCTACGTGTGATTGTTTTCCCTGAACATGTTTTCACCAAATTTGTGTGTGGTACCCAAAGAGGCCAGAAGATGGCATTGAGTTCCCTGGGATGGGAGTTATAAACAGTTATGTGTTGTCATATGAGTGCTTGAAATTGAACCTGTTTCCTTTGGAAGACCAGCAAGGTCTTTTAACTGTTGAACAATCTTTCCAACTCCAAATTTGCTTAGTTTTTATTTCAACAATTTCTACAGGTGATAAATTTAGACTTTAGGTAGTTTGAAGTTCTAGTTCATTGACAGTTGTTGACTTCTAGGTATTTTGCATCATCAAAATGATATTTAAAATACACCAGTCTGGAGCTGGAGAGACAAATGGTTCAGTGGTTAAGAGCACTTTCTGGTCTGGCAGAGGCCCTGAGTTTAGTTTCCAGCCTCCACTTCAGATAGTTCATTAACTGTCTGTAATTCCATCTCTAGGGAACCTGACACCATCTTCAAGTGTTTATCAGCACCTCCAGCTGTGATACACACACAGACACACACAATAAACAAACACAAAAGAGCAAACAAAATACAACAAGCTGTGCCATCTTTGGCATATTTGTCGGGACTGAAGACAAAAAGCAAGGAACATGGGGAAGACTTCTTGTTTGCCATGGGTCAAAAGTGAACTTTATTGTTGGTAGAGATCACTGAAATATTCGTATCAGTTCCTAAGTGAAAATGGCACTGAACAGAAACACAAGTCAAGCATGATAGTCTAAGTAACCAGAAACTAGTTCTTTATTAAAATGAAATTACTTGCTTTTTTAAAGGAACCAGGGAACTTAAGGACATTTTTTACAACTTTACATTCAAAACATAAGAACAGGCGCTGGAGAGATGGCTTAGAGGTTAAGAGCACTGAGTGCTCTTTCGTAGGTCCTGAGTTCAATTCCCAGCAACCACATGGTGGCTCACAACCAACTGTAATGACATCTGGTGCCCTCTTCTGGCATTCAGGTGTACACGCAGGCAAAATACTGTATATATAATAAATAAATCTTACAAAAAACAAGCAAAAAAACACCATAAGACCAGTATTAAATGAAATATAATACACCCATCTGCTGGAAGTTATATTCATAGCCCTCTCTTTATCAGTGAGTTTTGTTATTGTGAGCAAATGCATTTGTTGAGAGATTACTTTAATGTTTGTCTCTATTTCAGCCAGGAGAAAATTATCTTCCAACAGATGAGAATGGACAATACATATTTGACACAGTGGATCTGTGTGCCATCTGGAAGGCGAGTACTTGGATGAGAGAGGGCACAGTGAAAGTAGAGAATGAGAGTAATGTCAGAACTCCACTTGTGAGAGTGAGGTGTAAAATCTGTGTTGTAAAAATTAATGAACTTCATAAATGTTTATTTACTTAAGATGTGGGGACCGCACACAACAGTGATATAATAGAAATGAAGGGAACGTTTGACTGAAATTATGACAAATAGTCTAATTGACTAAGGGTCATTCAGGGTTCTCTTAATGATTGATACTGTCATTTTCATTACTGTTTTATTTTTCCTAAAAATTAATGCCATAAAGGTCCATTTTTATTTTCTTACAACGTTGTTTCTGACATTATAGTTTTCCACTTATATTAGTTTATATGTTGGCATTTTTTCCTCTTTAGGCCATGGAGAAGTGTAAGGATGCAGGACTGACCAAATCCGTTGGGGTGTCCAACTTTAACCGCAGGCAGCTGGAGATGATTCTTAACATGTCAGGGCTCAAGCACAAGCCTGTGTGCAACCAGGTGGGGATCCTCAGCCCCCAATCTTTCCTTTCCATTCCTTTCTTCCTCTACTACTGTGAGGTGCCAAGTGTAGGGAAGAAATAACATTGGAAATGTAAACTGAAGCTTTGAGATGACCTTGTTCTCTAGTGTCTTTCAATTTTTCTGGCTTCTGCCATAAAATAAAGCATTAAAGTAGATTCATTTTGCTAGTCTTCTCCCTGGAGTTATTCTTAGCAGCATTAAGGGAAATGGTAAAGTTTCTTTATTATAAATTGTGACCTAAATCATACACATATTTGGTGTATGTTTCTTGACCAATATTCATGTCAGGTTTTAGATTAATCAATGATTTTTGTCTCTGTCAATTTTTTGTTGTTTGGAAATCCTATTTGATATTTATCTTCTATGTTAACATTCCTTATCTGAGACACTTTTTGGAATATTAGTCTAGTAAAATTATTTCTAGAAGATGGGATAATCTTTCATAATTTTCATTATAAGTATTTTGAGAAAGAAAGCCACTATTATGATTGCTGCAGAGTGTTTATCTCTCTTATTTCTCCTTTTCTTTCTTCACTACATACTTAGTTTCCTTGGTCAAATTCAGTTCATAACCTTAATTTTGATTAATTGTTGTTATATACAGATATGGATATGATGTGTTTGTACATACATATTTATAAATTAATGATACAGCTTTCTCAGTCTGAATAATGTTATTTATATGTGTAGATTTTTAGGACTGATCATTTGATTCCACATAATCAATAGTCCCTGGGGAAGACTATTTCTCTGACTCTCAGAATTCCTTTCTTTACTTTAGTTTTTTTTGTACTTTAGTAAGAAATTATTTACTTTGATTTTATGTTCATATCTGTATTGGGTATTCTTATTTTTCATTTTAATGCCAAAATCTACATAAATGTCACTGTTAATAAATCCACAAACTGTTTCTTTTCCATTCCTAATGGAGTTTTATCATTTTTTGTTTTAGTTTTGTATTTAATAATGAAAATTCAGTGAATCCTTTTCATGTTCCACAAAGGGAACCAGCCATGGCTCATCATAGCAAAAGCTAGTATTTCCATCCATGAAGCATGATATAGAGCTCATTTTCCTTCAAAAATGCTGCTTCTTCAACTGTTCCCTACAACATAAGTTCAAAATATAACCGTGTAGCTCTGAAGCATTTAATGGAAGTGTACATGAGGAGAGGAGGAAGTGGAGCAAGGGTAAATATGCTCAAAATATATGACATACTTTATGAAAATGTATCTGAAATTCCTCATTATGCACAATAACTATAAATCAAATAACTTCTTTAATCATGGTCATAGCAGAATGGCACAGTGGATAAAGAGTCTTATCTCCAAATCCTTTGATTCCTGGGACCCATATGGTAGAAGGAAAGAAATCACCATGCAAAAATCTTCTGATCACCTCATGTTTACTGTGCCATAGACACACAAACATCTACCATCTTCCAAAATACGTTTGAAGATGTTTGTATTTTCTTTATTTTCCTTTTTCCCCTTTCTTATCCACTTAATTTTATTTATTTATTTTTTATTACTTATGCATTTATTTTATTTTGCTTGTTTTATAAGACATAGTCTTTACCTGTAACCCAGGCTAGTCTGAAACATTTTGTAGACTGGAATGGCCTCAAGCTCATTGTAATCTTCCTGCTTCTGCCTCCTAAAATGTAGTCATGAGTCACCATACCAGGCCTGATAGCAAGATATCCATTTCAAATTTCATTACATGGATTAAACTATTTCATCTTTTAAACATTTTTGACATTTTTCTTTACATTAAATATAGAATTTTATATAATTTGGCATATTTCTATTTCATTCATCTATAGGTAGAATGCCATCCTTATCTCAACCAGAGAAAACTTCTGGATTTCTGCAAGTCAAAAGACATTGTAATGGTTGCTTATAGTGCTCTGGGAAGCCAACGGGAAAATATAGGGTAATATAGACGATGATAATCAAATCAATAAAAACAAGGTTGATTAAAGAGTTTTTAATCTTATGACACTGTTTCTTGTTATTATTAAAGGAACTTAAGAAAGAAAAATTTTCATTTTGGGGGAGAATAAAAGTCTATAATGGTTTTATAGTTTCCCCATTCATTAAATTTGGAAAAACCATGGTCTGTAATTCAAACTTCCTATGTGTTAGAAGTCTTCTAAAGAATCGAAGAGTTAGGATATAAAATTTAACATTTCTCCCTTCCTTCCAGGATAGTGCAGAATAACCCCATTCTTTTGGATGACCCAGTTCTTGATTCCCTGGCAAAAAAATACAAGCGAACTCCAGCCCTGATTGCCCTTCGCTATCAGCTGCAGCGTGGGATTGTGGTCCTGGCCAAGAGTTTCACTGAGAAGCGGATAAGAGAGAATATGCAGGTGATGAGGTGCTGCAGGTGTTAGGCACCTACACAGACTTATCCTATGGACTTGGTGGTTAGTCCTGTAACACTAGTCAGTATCCCTTACATTCTGAGTGTATCTGTGCTTTAAGGGCATCTCTCCAGGGAGATTAAATACTATTCCTCAGCAGGAATGACTGTTTACAGGGTGACTGCTGTTACAGCTAGGTGTCTATTTCAGAATAACACTGGTAATTTAAACTTAATTAGGTGCATACCCTTTTCTCCATTTTCTGAAAAGAAGCAAGTAAGCCTAGGCAACTTTCATCTTTCAATTTCTTTGTGGTTTATTTGTATTTTCCTATAAATACGTGTATTTTAATGTTCAGGTCTTTAATCACTTTGAATTCATTTCATGTCATAAAACTATGTTTTTCATGTCTTGGCTCCCATGAGAGTACTTCTCTGCTCATTTCAAATAGGAGATCATTTATACTATTAATACTAGCAGTGGTAAAATCAATGCACACCTACATACAAGCCCTTTTGGAATAGTCAATTATGCAGCTGATAAGTTCATGGTTAGAGATTTGTGTGGTCTGATCCAATCTCAGTCAGATTATTCTAATCTTGGTCAGTCTCTCTCCTGTTCTTCATTGAAGTTGTTCGTACCTTTGAGGAGCAGTGAGGTGTCTTCTCTAGGGTAAGGACCACACTGTCCAAAGTGGAGCTGGTTTCTCCTCTCTGTAGTGTTTATCCTCCAGTCTGTGCTCCTCATATTATACAATCCCCAAGTAGTTTACAAATTCTATGTATTTTCATGTTTAATTTTATATAAGGTACATCATTTCATTTAACACAGAGTAGACTCTGGAAAATGCAAAAAAGAGATGTTCTTCTAGTCTATTTCATTTTTTTTTCTGTAAATTCATTGGACTTTCTCTTTTTGTTAAACAACTCATTTTTAGATCTAGATTCTCACCATGTTTTACATTAAATACTAATATTAAAAGGAATTTCTTTTCTCCATTTTTTAGATTATTCATGGATTTTGTAGTTGGCTGGTGTTAAGGTTTCCTGTGTGAAAATAAATCAATCTCTTCTCTGTCATCTTCAAAAATGTCATTCTCTGTCTTTTCCAGCTTACCTTTAAGTTTCAATAGAATTACTCTTTGGTCATTTCAATTGTTGGCTAAAACATATAAAAATGTTAAAAATGGGTAACAAAATTTATTTTCAGTAATCCCATGTCTATACTCATTTCTATCATCAACGAATGTTTTTACTTTTGTTAATGAGTCTATCTTCTAAATATTCTAAGGGTCATTTTTACATAATGGCATACATACTGGTTATTCTTTATTGGTTATTCTTTTATCCAATCAGTTTGGTCACTTCCATCCAGGGTGTTTTTGACAAAGTTGATATTGCATTGAGTTTATTATTTTGGAGATTGTGACTATTTGCTATTTGACTTGGATTTGAAGTGCTCAATCCACAGTAACATTAGAAACTTGAAATAATTCAAATAGTTTACTATATTCATTTCCAACTTCTATTAATTTCAAACTAAGGAATTTTATTCATTCTGTTCTATCTTATTGACTCATAGAAATATAATTATTTTATTAGCAGCTTTTGTTGCTGTTGTTGTTTTATTAGCTGCCAGATGTGTCAAAAAGAGAGGAAGTTTGCAAGAAGTGCCTGTTACTTAATATGATTAATTTTCCAGACATTGCTAGCTATTTTTTTCTTGGTGTTATTTTTATGAGTACTTTTGGTTTTTTCATCTTATTTCTTTCCATTTGTTAACAACAGGAGACCTTCTTGTTGAGGATTTGACCACCATTTATACAAGAAAGTTTTCTTGATGTTACTTCTTTTTAATTGGAGTTTAATTATAAGATTTCTAAAATTTTTACTTTGAATTGCATTATAAATGATATTTCAAAAATTACTATTCTAAAGTTTGAGGCATGGAAGATCACTGTGTTAATGACGTTATAACATGGAGTCAGACACTGTTTCTTGCTCTTACAGTCTTCCTGCCTTGTCTTCCACATAGATCTCTGAGCTTTGTGGGAAGAGTTCAATGGAAAGTCCAAAGGAAGAGAGCTCCAAAGTCTTTCACTCTCTGTGCATTGTCTATTTCTGGGTCTCCATGTCAGTTTCCATCCACTGCAAGAAGAAGCTTTTCTGATGAGGGTTGCATGATGCTCTGATACACAAGTATAGAGATAAATCATTAGGAGTCTTTTTATTGCCATAGACTAGACTCAGTCGACTTGATGCATATATGAACTCACAGGAATTGTGGCAGCCTGCACAGGTTTCGGCTAGAAAAATCATCAGAACTAAAGGGGAAAAGAGAATTTCAGGTCTGACTCCTGGACGCTTAGGAGTTTTTCTCAGTTGATATCTTCTGGGAAAGATGAAATCCGCTTTCTCACAGCAGTGTCACTGAATATATGAACTCCATTTCCTGGCAGGTGGCATACCCAGGAATAGTTGACCAACACAAAATTAATGCCATATTTTTCTGGGCTTTTGTTTCATCTTATTTTTATTATGTATTTTTAGTTTACTTTGATTCTTTTATCTCTCTGTGTGTCTCTGTCTGTCTGTCTCTTTCTATGAGTGAGTGAGTGTGTGTTGAAATTGTGTAGGTAGGAAGATGGGAAGAATTTGGAAAGAGTTTAAGGAGGGGAAATGAATGACTGATAGTTATATACGAAAATAGTTTAAATTAAAATAAAGAAAAAAACTGTATCAATGACTACTATGGAAATTTGTTAAGCATTTAAACTACTGCGTTTATTTTGTTTTGAACCATCTAACAATCTGATTATGATCATGTTTGTCATCATAATGTCTTTATTTCTTCCTCAGATTATTTAATGCCTTTGTGTGTGAGGCTATACCTTTCAATTCAGGAATTAATTTCCAGAATTTCTACATCTGGTATTCATCACTTCTTTAAATGTTTTGATGAGCATGTATTTATTTTTTTGATTTCTTGAATATATTAAATATTTATCTGCATCATTCAGTCTGGTGCACTTGGAATAGGCAGATTAACAAATATACAGTGTAAATATAATAATGTAGTTCCTATTTCTTTCATAGGTTTTTGATTTTCAGTTGTCTTTGGAGGACATGAAAGTCATTGATGGTCTGAATAAAAATGTGCGATACATCAGTTTCACAAAGTAAGTAATTTCAGTAAATGTTTTTTTCTCAACTTTTTTTTCTGAGGTGGATGTAACATAATTGTTATCATTTGCCTTAGTTTAAGCAAGGAATACAGAGACCGTGTTAAACCAGAAGGGAAACAAGAGCTTTATCCTCTGTTTCTAGCCTCCTGTGAATTCTGTCCTTTGTGATAGAAGCAGGAGGTGTGGACCCAGGCTTGTACTGACCTCATGCATTTTACTGCTCTTCTCCTGTTTCAAGGACAGTTTTCTGTGTCATCAGTGCTGGGTCTCTGTTCTGTTCTTTGTGTGGGCTTCCAAATTTATCTGTCCTGTGATTTACACTTGAGGCATTTAAACACTCTTCTTGAAGCCTTTTTAATTCAATGTCATGTAATTTTACCTATACCTGCTTAATCTCTAATTATTTTAAATGCATGACAGCCAATCTTGTGGTCTATGATATTTCCTCCAGGTGAAATCGTTTATTAAATTCAGGAAGTTTAATGTTTTCAATGGTTTGAAAAGTTCCACATCTTTTATATAGCACCTTTCCTTCAGGTCTTTATGTATTGTGTTTGTGTTTATAATGACTGGCTTAATGAATTCTGTAGCTCACTTGGTCTTGGTTTTCTAGAATATAGAGACCTCAATGTTGAAGATTAAGAAGTACTAGAAAATAAAATTATGAACAGCATTATAAAATGTAGAAAACAATGCCACCTGTAGGAGAACTTTTAACTGACAAAAAATGTTATTCTTCCTTAATTCTATATGCCCATAGTTATGTCTATAAATAGGAAAGATATTCTTATTACATCCATGATGGAAGAATTGTATATGTATTTCTTCAACTACTGGGAAATTACTTCTAAAAATACATAAATATGAGAATTGTTGAGCTAGCATATTGAAAAATTGCTTGTTCAGAGTGCAGCAGGCAGGCCAGTCTGCTTCGAGCAGCCTCAGCAGTGTGATGGGTAGGCCAGGCCACCAGGAGCAGACTTTGCAGCACCTTTTCTGGGTCAGTCTGCCAAGAGATGTCTCAGCAGTACAGCAGAAGGGACAGGCCATTGGGAGAAGCCTCAGCAGTGCAGCAGACCATGGCAACACCAGTGACATCCAGGAATTATCAGCCAGGAAATCTGGAACAGCATGAAAAGATTGAACATAAGAATAATAAAAATTGAAGGAAAAGATGCCCAATTCGAAGACAAAGAAAATATATCAGCAAAATCATAGAAGGAAGCTTTATCCAACCTAAAGACAGACAATTTTCAAGTAGCCCATGAAAATACCAGAAGCTTACAAAACACAAAATAGACTGGACCAAAAAAAAAAGTTCATTTGCAACATAATAATCAAAACGTTAAACATACAAAATAAAGAAAAATTATTGAGAACTACAACTGAAAAAGGCCAAGTAACATATAAAGGCAGAACTATCAGAATTATACTCCACTTTTTATTGGAAACAATGAAAGACAGAAAGTCCTGGCTAGGCATTACGAACAAAATAAGAAACCATGGATGCCAACTCAGACTAAAATATCCAGCAAAACTTTCAATCAGGATAGACAGAGACACAAGATATTCCATGACAAACCAGATTTAATCATTATCTACCCTCAAATACTGCCCTACTGAAAGTACTAGAAAGAAAACACCAATACAAGGAAGTTACAATAACCACAAAAACATAGTCAATAGGTAATCACACACCAGAAAATCACAAAGAATAGAAACACACACACACACACACACATCACCACCACCACCACCACCACCACCACCACTACCACCACCACCAACAAAAACAAAAATAACAGGAACAAGCAATCACTGGTCATTAATATCCTGTAATATCAATAGACTCAATTTGCCTATAAAAAGATATAACAGATTGGTTATGAATAGAGAGCCCATCTTTCTGCGACATATAAGAAACATACCTCAACATTAAAGACAGACATTACCTCAGAGTAAAAGGTTTGGGAAAGACTTTCCAATCAAATGTGCCAATGAAACAAGCTGGGGTAGCTATTCTAATATATAACAAAGTAGACTTCAAACTAAATTAATCAAAAGATATGAAGAAGATCATTTCATATTCATCACAGGAAAAAATCCATCAAGATGAGATCTCAGTTCTGAACATCTATGCTGCAAATATAAGGGTATAGTCCTTTGCAAATGAAACACTATACTAAGCTTAAATCACACATTAGACCCAACACACTGATAGTGGGAGACTTCACCACGGCACTTTTATCACTTGAGGAGTCTGCCAGACAGAAACTTACCAGAGAAATAAAGGAACTCACAGATGTTATGACTCAAAGGGGCTTAAGAAATATCAATAGAACATTTCATCCAAACCCAAAGCAATATGACTTCTACACTAAACTAGTGACCTGTCTGACAAGAACTATTAATCCTTGAAAGAAATCAGAGAAGACAACAGAAAATGGAAAGATCTATCATGCAACCGTGATTGTGTTCCTTGCCTTCTACCTTGTTTGAGACAGAATATCTTGTTTCCACTGTGTATTTCACGTTGTCTGTAAGTTTGCAGGAAGTTTTCTGTTTCCACTTTCTATGTCACCATGGAGAGTTATTACAGTTGCATGCTACCATGGCCAGTTTTATGTGGACACTGGGGATCAAAACTCATACAACACATTTGCTCCAAAAACATTTCTCCACTTAGAAATGTTTCTAGTCCACTATTTCTACTTCGACATCAAGATTAGTAGAGTGCTTGCAGTTTTTTAGCAAGTAATCTATCAAGTAAAAATTGAGGTGAAATTGATGCCTCCTATTTATATCTCCCTGAAGTATTTCTTGTTGCAGAGTTTGCCTTGTTATTTTCAAAACAAGGTGACTAGTTTCTGCTTTCATTAAGGATTTTAAATTAAACCACCTGCACTGGGAAAGAACATGCATAGAAACAAACTAATCCCTCTGAATATGGTTGACAATTACAGGGCTGAGGAAAACTGAGGGCCCACTGACAGTGGCAGCAGAATTTATCCTATTGTCTGTACTGGCTTTTGGGGAACCTATTCGCTTTGGAAACCTATCCTGTTTGGAAACCAATTCTCGTTGGAAACCTATTCTCTTGCTCAGCCTAGATATAGTAGGCAGGGCCATGGACATTTCCCAAAGCAATGGGCCTTACCCTCTCTGAGGAGTGAATAGAGGTAGTAGGGAGGTAGGTGGAGGGAATGGTAGGAGGGTAAGGAGTGGAAACTTGGATTCCATGTATAATGAAAAAGGACAGTTTGTCCTCTTTTTTTTTAAAAAAGAGAATTTATCTTCTTTGGATAAATGTATATTTGACAATTTAAATATTATTTTCTGTGTATGTCTTAGGGGAAGGAGCATAATATGCTATATTTATTTAGTTTTTGTTCAACCATTTATAAAATAATGTTTAAGGTAGACTATGAATTACCAGAAAATAAAATTTTGTATTTTTGCATAATAGCTTCATAGAAGTTACTCAAAACTCATATGATTTGTTTGTCTTTCTAGATTTAAGGGCCAACCTGAATTTCCATTTTCAGCTGAATATTAACATGGAGACCTTCCTGTGCCAGGCCTTATGCTAGAAGTCCATGCATGTGGATATACAGTGGAAGACTGCACCAGTGGTGATTATTACATACACCACCCCAGTCCTTTCTGGGAAACCCTTGTTTGTTGAATCTACAGCTATATGCAATGAAACAGACACAATATATATTTGCCCCATCCTGAATGGAAATAAAAGAATAATTTTCTTCAACATTTATCTATGCTAGTTTGTAGTATTTACTTATTTTAACTTCTCCTGACTCATTTAGATCTCTAAAGCATTTTCATAGAAATGTGTGCACAGGGCATGTAATGATAAAAGACATTTTACAAACATACCTAACATGTAAGTGAACAAAATTATCATCATCTGGAAAGTAGCAGTTATCAAGTGTCTATTAATATGTTTTTCTCTAGCATTTGAAGGAATAAGAAGTGTATTATGTGTAGTATAGCAAGTAAACCATAATAAGAAGGGCAACCTTTAGTCATGTTGTTTCTCCAGTGATCTAGATACTGAACTATCCTTGTGGGAGGGTTTACGAGGTGATGAGGTTAAACCAGTTTTCATGGATCATGAAGACTCTAATGAAGGGAGATCTAGGAGGGACAATTTGAGTGTGTCTTTGCTTGAAAAACGAATCAATATCCTTTGAGAAATACATCTAACCAATAATAATATGCTTTGTATGTCTTGTGCCCCCAATTTGGTGATGTATATTACATGTGGAGCCTAGTATGTCCCCAGGAAAAGAAATAGACTTACTCATGTATGGGGTTCTTTATTTAGACTCTTATAATACTTATAAATTTTCTCTGACTTCATCAATTTATTGTAACCAAATTTCAAGTGGTTTTTTTTTCTTTTTAGGCCAAATCAGCCCACATAAGCAAAGCAAACCTTCTAAATTTTAGAGGATAACTTAGCCAATAAGATGATAAGGAAATGTATAGTAGTTTAGGATATTCGTGATATAACTAACTGAGAGTTGTTCACAAAATATGACTAAATATGAACATTATTCAAAATTAGACTTCCAGTTTTAAATATGACAAATTATGAGCTCTGAACCTTTCACTTATTGCCTCACATTTGCTGTGGGAGCACCTTCCCCTCCTTCAGTCAATAACTGCTGAAATACCAGCCCACTGGGGCTAGGTCTATTTCTCTTTATAAAAGAGCAGCAGTCCTCTGCTCCCTCTCTTGCTTCCAGTTCTTGGTTCCGGCTCTTGCTCCAGTGACTAGACTCTTTTCCTGGCTGTCGATGTTCTGTAAGTTTTACGTCTAAAAAAAATACCTCTGTGAATCCAAATTGGTGTGTGATTGTTTCACGCATTACACATTGAAGAAGAAGTTGACAAATTGATGCTACCCTTCCTAGGTTGAAAACGCCAAGGCCACTGGTCATATTTCTTACCTGAAAAACAAGGAGATGAGAAAAATCACTGTAATGACATACATAGAGAGTGTTCAGTGTTCTTGATGTCATTAATAAGAAAACTAATGCAATTATAAATAATTTAGGACTTCTAGAGATTAATGTACCTGGAAAAGGGGGAAAATGGATTCAATGATCTCTTTTTCTTTCCACAGTCAGGAGATAAATCACCAAGCAGTTCTCACACTCACAAGTCTTCTGGATGGAGCTGTTGAGTGCCATGGTACTAAGGAGGTGTAAAGGTAAAAGGCAATGGGAGCAAGTGCAGTAATTGTTCATTGGACTGTAAGGTACTTCCTCTTCCTCCTGGTTTAACACCACAGCAGAAAGGTGAAGTAAGACCACAGAGGAACAAGGCTGAAAGAGCTGATTCTTTCAGTATTGGTGAGGAAGTAAATCTCTAGGATAAATCAATGACAGTGAGGAGAAAGACTTGAATATAACATAGTAAAGGCTTTGCTCTGACTTCTGTTGATGCAGTAAAGAGAAAGTACAAATTGTCAACCTGCTTCTTACAGCATAGCACACTGAACCCACTTACTTTCATCATTTTTTGCACCTACTACCTGATGTATTACTTCTACACTTAGCAAACAGCCTCACAAAATGGCTTAAAAATAGTCTTAATAATTAAAACAAATATAACACAGAGATATTGTAGAGTTGTTCTGACAATATGACTGAAATTAAATGGCTAGTGACTCTAGAGGAAAAAAAATCTCATCAAGGGTTCAAAATCAGGAGAATGATATAACTGTAGAAGGAGAAATCCAAATAAGGTCAAAGATACTTAACTTCATCAACAGTAACAGACATTAAGACTATTTGGCAGTATGTAGGAGCCTTTGTAGAAAAATAAATGCTCATTCACCACAGAGAAAGCCCTAAGAACACTCCCTTCTATGCAAAGCGTAGTGAACCAGTGTGTTAATTAGATTATCTTAGGGGATGTAAGTGAGAGTTTGATTTCAGGCATTCATTGACTCCCAGGCAATTCCATTGCAGGATAGTCCCCATGTGTGGCCCACACAGTTAATGATCTTGCAAAAGGAGTATAGCTGGAATCTCCCCTTCAGTTAATATTCTATTTCTGATAGAGCAACTCCCAAGGTCAGGCAATGCTGGGATAGAATTATATGTATCATCGTGAGGATAATGGAAGGTGGAAGAGGCTGGAATATCTGGTGAGGATCAATTGACCTTCCCTTACTTCTTCAACAGGGGAAACTTAATCATCTTGTGTTTGTGAGGGTCTTTCATAGGTACACACAAGTGCTCTGTTTCCAAGATAATTCATCAATAGATTCTGACGCACACAAGTACTCTAAAGACCTTCAGTAAATATCAGTGAAGAATCCTGAAACTTGTATGCACAAAGAAAATTGAGAAAATGCTGCATCTCTAGAATACTGAAATTATGGAACAGTTGCAAAAGATGTGTCACTGCTGTCATTGGAACAAGAAAAGAAGAAGCAGGAAGCATGCATGCCTGGAACATTTAAAACAGTAGACCAAATTTCGGAAACAATGAACGAAATGACAGATTTGTGAAACTTCACAGTGTGAAGGGAGAAATGTGACAAATCAAAAAAAAAACTAACATAAGGCACATTGTATCCAAATTTATAAAATTAAGAGCAAAGGATATCTGAAAACAACCAGAAGAAGGATAACACAATACCTTTAGTAGCAAGATAAGAATAGCATGAGACCAATTTGAAACTAGGAAACAAGAAGATAATGGAAGAAAATATTAAAATGTTTGAAAATATCCAACATAAAAGCCCACTGTATTCGTTAGTTAATTATTCAAATATTAGCTAGGAAGATCTTCATAGCTAGGTATATAGTTCAGTGGTGAATCATCATCCTGAATTATTTTTTAAAGAATTACTTTTTAAAAAATATTTATTCATATGTTTGTATATGTATATGTTATGCAGTACATGTATTCATAGCCCAAGTGTGGCAGCTAATACACAAATTGAATTTTTTTCTAGAACAACAAAATTCCTTACATTTAGTCTACATAAATCTTATATGTTGCAAATTATCAAAGATGTTACTCAGGAGACAAAACTGTTCAAGTAATAGCAATAACCATTATCTGAGTTAGAGTTCATTTTACTGGTAAATTAGTGGAAGGATTTAATGCGGTCAATCAGTTCAATGGGAAAAAATAGTACACTTTTCTAATATAACTGAATGGATATTTTAAGCATTATATTACCTTTTGTATACCACAGAAGACAAGTTAGTTCTCTTTTATTTAGCACTAAAAGTTTTGTTTACTATGATCTCCCTCACATCGTTCCTTGATAAGGGTGATAAGAGTGACATGTAACTTAAAGAGTAAAGAATGGTTTTGTAAAAGAATCCAAAACACAAAAGAAGTTGATGTCTTCCTTAGTTCATGCAAAATCAGACTCATAAAGCAGCAATTGTGCATTACATATTTTTAAATGTTTAGGTAAGAAAGCCACATCTTTCTCTTCAACACATCTTGTAATGTATGAATATATATGAATAAGAGATAGCCCAATAAACACAATTCACCAATATTTTCTTATCTAAATTTGTAAATGTCACTTCAACACATCACTGGTATGAAAGGTCCTTGTGTCTATGTTTTCCTTTTATTGGTTAATGAATAAAGAGCTGGCTTGGCCTATAGCATGGGAGGAGGAGGGCATAGTTAGGAGACACCATGGATTTGCTGCAAGAGATAGATGTGCTGAAACTTTTCGGGTAGGCCACAACCTCGTGGTATATACAGATTACTAGAAATGGGTTAAATTAATATGTAAGAGTTAGCCAATACAAAGACAGAGCTAATGGGCCAAATAATGATTTAATTAATACAGTCTGTGTGATTATTTTGGGTCTCAGCTAGTGATGTGGCCAGGACAAACAAGCTGGCCCTCCTGCAACACATCACTAACCAGTACACATAAAATGAAATACCTTTGAAGTAAAGAAGTCTTCTTTCTTAATAGTGTTTTCTTCGGTCTTCCTTCAATTGACCAATACTATAATCCTCTTCATCTTAGTACAATTGAGCAGCATCAATATAGCAGACTCCTTTATCTAGTTTGGGATCCTCTGTAGACATAATCTTGACATTTAAACATTCAAATGCTGAAAACTTATTCACATCCTGCAATAAAACTTCCCAAATGCCACCTTTTCCTTATAGTTTTGGTGGGTTGTCTATTTGCAGAGAAGAGTCCATCTTTGTTCACCTGGAGTCTTCTAATTGAGTAATAGTAATTGAACACCAAAATGACCTTTAAAGTTTCAGATGATAATGGCTTAGCTATTGGCATTGCAGATTCCCTATAATGCTCATAATCATTACTTTCCAGATGTACTCACACATCTCATCATGGCAGTAATTAGGCAGTAATTGTTTTATACAGCAATATGAAGGTATGGAATTTAAAAAGAAAATTGTGCAAGAGATGGACAAGAGAACAATTAATGTTCAATCTTCTGTGAATTTTCTCCCAATGAAGTCACTCAAAATGCACTAAATTCCCCAAACACTGAGTATTCAGAATCTTGCTGAATTTGCTTAAATTAAGCCATTTGGAGCCTCTACACTTGTCTTTAATTCACAGTTTGCTTCACAAAACTCTGTATAATGATGATGGTGGTGATGATGATAATTAATAAAAATAATATTGAACCTGATTCAACTCATCTTCAACTCCCTGTCTTCCAAATAAACCCCATATAAATGCTTCTCATTGTTCATCAAGTGCACAGACACCTGTAATCCTTATGCTGTGGAATGGAGAGAACTCAGTGTTCCCAGGTGACATCTAAAGTTCAGCATGTATTTATTATGAAACACAATAAACAGCAGTGTATGATATCAACTTTCCAGTGACACCACTCTCACTATATAAGAGATGTTATTAACACTAGCAGTAAGATGTGGACTCAAAGCCACAAACCCATACATAAGAAGTTGTACCACTTCTACAAGGGAGTAGTAGTAGGAGTCAACAGTTTAGCAAAAGCTAGTTTTGTGTGGAAACTCTCAATACATTAAAATTTGAAATTGTTTGATTATACATAAAATTTTTGAAAAAATATATTAAATAACAGAAGCAAAAAAGTAATAATAGTACTTCTCAGGGTATCTCTTCTGCTCTTTCAGGGTTAAGAACACTCATAGATTTACCAAGGAGGAAAAAGTAGTGTTACCCTCATTATTTCTATATTTGACATGATAGTCACACTAAATCATAAGTACCTTTTGTAATAGTCATCACAATATCTCCATATATAAAAAGGATCAAATTCTTGCACAGAAGATAAGTGTGAATTCAACATTCAGAAAAAAATGTCCACAATCACACAGTTAATTAGCCTTTGACCAAAAATGTGTTCTTAAAGTATAATCCAATGAGTGCAGTGAACTCTCACCTCTCACTTTAACTTCTGAGAATGTCTGGACCTTGTACTGAAAATAAAATATTATTTACACATACTGGTTTTGTAAACTCACCTTTAGTAGGTTCATGTTTTTATAAACTTAAATAACTTTTCTTTTTCCAATAAGTTGGTCAGAGTTCTTTTCAATGTTTTTTTTATTTTTGAGGTTAAAGAATAATTATAATTTTTTCCTCCCTCTTGCCAGTTTTCATTCCTTCCATATACCCCTCCTTACTCTCTTTCTAACCCATGGTCTCTTTTTCATTGATTATCACAATTTCCTTGACATAAGTAGTGCAATGGCCCTGTCAAACACAATGGCCAGAAAAACACTCATTTTCTATAGCCATTCACTACTTAAAGCCTTGGAATTTTTTGCCCACTCTTCTACAACAATTCCTAAACCTTAGACGGGATTGTAACTCAGATGCCGCATTTAGGGCTGAGCACTTCACACAGGCTCTCTTTTTCTTTACCCATTGACCACCTGTGTGCCTCTGTATTAATCACCATCTACTGCAAAAGAATATTCTTTAATGAGGTAATTGTTGTTCTAATCTATGCTATAAAGATAAGTACTTAGTGGTTGTTTAATACTATATCTATTTAGTAGTTTATATAGTAATAAAGGAGAATCTATAACCATTAAAACTTTAAAAAATTATTCTGTCTTTTATTTCATGTATCTTGATCCTATTCTTTTCCCTGTCCTTTGCTTCTGCCTTCTGCCCCTGCGCCTCTCCATATAAAACAAAATTTAAAAAAAAGGAAAAATATAAAAAGGAAAAAAATTAAAAATCTAATTATTGAAGTTTCAGTGTAACACAATGAGACACACTGTAAACACCTTTGTCCACATATCTTTACTTGCAGGTATTCATTGCAAAGAGTCATTGGTCTGGTTCAAGGATTCTATTTATACTACACTACTGATGCTGGGTCTTCATAGGTCTTTTCTTGGGTATTCTTCTGTGTCCCTGTTTGTGGAATTCCTGCAGTTTGTGTACTTAAATTAGGTTCCCCTGCATGCTCCAGCAGGTCACAGATGGGGTGGATATTGAGACGGGCCAAGTCATAGCCCTCTGCCTGACTTGCACAGCTGTAGAGATGGTCTGCCAGATGAGAAATGGGGACAGTTCTATTATGTTTACAACTTTGGGGCTGGCTCACCCACACCTGTACTAATAGGGTTGGCTCTCCTGGTGAAGGAGTGTCTTCTTTCTATGTGTTGCTTTCATTGGTTAAATAAAGACACTGCCTTTGCCTTTTGATAGGACCGAAGCTTAGATCGGCAGAGTAGACAGAACAGAATTCTGGGAGGAAGAAGGCAGCATGGTAGATGCCATGGTTCTTCTCTCCAAGACAGACGCTGGTTAAACTCATGCTGGTAAGCCACAGTCAAGGGTCAATATAGATTATTAGAAATGGGTTGAATCAATATGTAACAGTTAGTCAATAAGAGGCTAAAACTTATTGGCCAGGCAGTGTTTAAATGAACACAGTTTCTGTGTAATTATTTACGGTGTAAACTAGCTGGGAGCTGGGCAGCAGGAAGCAGCCTTTGTTCCTTTTACAACACTCTCCCACTCTTATCATTAAAAATTTAAAAACAAAAATCTTGGGGATTAAATAGAAATTCCAGAAATGGGAAAAATAAAATGATAGTGGTAAATAGGGTCAAAATATAGAATGTTACTGCAAAAAATATATCTTTATGAAAACCATAAATATGTACAATCAACATGTCAATTAAAACTATATGATCATGACTCTATAGATTTCTTTATTCATTTATCTTTTTTTGCCTTTCTTTTTGTTTTCTGAGAAGTGGTCTCTGACTGCAGCACAGAATGGCCTTGATTTAGTGAAAATTTCTGCCTTTGTGAGTCATTTTCTGGGATAACATGCATGAACCACTACATTAGTGTTAACATATTTCATGTTACATAGGATTTTCTTATTTACTTATTTTATTTAAAACTATCTTCTTTGTAACATTATAAATTTTTATATAACAACATCTCTCCATCATCCTTCTGCAGGTGGAATATCATTCTTATCTCAATCAGAGCAAACTTCTGGATTTCTGCAAGTCAAAAGACATTGTTCTGGTTGCTCTGGGCATCCATTAGGATAAACACAGGTAATATGGACATTAGAAATGAAGTCTCTGTAAAAGTCTTATGATTCTACATTCCTGGAGTTTATTTTAAATGAACTACAGACAGAGAAAAGTTTCACATTGGGGAGAATGAAAAATGGTAATATCATTGCAGGCATCAGATCCACATTTGGGAAGCCATGGTTTCCGAAGTTCATAACAAGTCAAATACATAGATTGAGGAATTCATTCTCCCTCCACTGTTATTCTAGGATAGATCAGAGCACTCTTGTTCCTCTGGATGATTCAGTTCTTGATCCTATCACAAAAAATACAAGTGAACTCCAGCTTGATTGCCCTTCTCTACCAGCTGCAGCATGGGATTGTGGTCCTTGTAGAGTCTCAATGAGGCATGAATCAAAGAGAACGTTCAGGTGATAAGTGAGATGGCAGTTTTTTATCACATTAAGAAAATTATCATGTGTAGTACTTCTCCAATGAACAAGACTTGTTTGAATTTAGTATTTCTATCTTAAATTTCCAAGCAAGAGTACTTTATATACATTTAAGGCATTTTACCCTCTACAGAATCACCATTGTTTGCATTGCATATTTTTATATTTTCATGAGAGTTTTTATGTTTGGTTTTCTAATATATAGATAAATATATTCTTATGTCAGGAAGTTCAATCATGAAGGTGGCATTACGAACTACTTCTGCTATCTTATTCTATTAAGAAGAGAGAAAAGTGAATGACACAAATTTTAATTTTGTGTACTCTGTAGATCACAAGTATTTTCTAGAGTTTGTTTCTGTGGTTGATGCTGTGTTTGGGGTGGGTATGGTTTATTTTGTGGCTATTGTTAGTTTTCTGAGATAGTCTAGCATCCAGGTTGCTATGCAGCTGAAGATAGCACTGAATTTCTAATTTTTCTAATTCTATCTTCTATGTCTGGGACTAATGACATATGCCTCCAAACATCTTGCTGTGTGTGGAATAATTTTCTGTTATAAAAAGTAGCAATTTGTCAGATTCTAAAAGGAGTGTTTACATATTTGTTGAAGCTCTTTGTTACTTTAAGATCATGGTCTTTTGACAATAATGTAATGTCTAATTCTTGATAATAATAGGAAGTTTCTATTATTTAGATGAGATTTTACATATTGCACTTTTATAATTTTCGCTCTGGGTATTTTGTATATATTATGTTTGCTTATTGATAAAAATATATGTTGTAGGTCTTTTTAAATAATACTTTAAGGGCTTTTTGAGGAGCTTTTTGTGACATAATTTCAAGGTTATCTTAGAACTTTTTTCTAGACCAGGCTGGTCTTGAACTCACAGAGATTCACTTGCCTCTTGTTCCTGAGTGTTGGGATTAAAGGCCTGACCTGCCACCCAGTTTATTTTCCTTTTTTTTCACCTGGAACTAGCTCTATAAGACAGACTGTTCTCAAACTCACATAGATATACCTGCCTCTGTCTCCCGAGTACTGGAATTACAGGACTTTGTCTCCACCTTTTGGCTAAGATTTTTTATTTTATGAAGGGCTTATTATGACTTTCCCATATTTGTAGTGTATGTTGATCATACTTTTCCCATTACTCTTTATTCTTCTCCCTCCTTTCATTTTTTTCCATTCCCCTTCAACATCCCTCTGTTTTACATTTTGATTTAATATAATTTTTAGCAGCACTAAGAGTGAAACCCAAGACTTTATGCATGACATGCAAATGCCTTACCAAGTGAACTAAACTCCAGCCTAAAACACAAGTCCTACACTTGTATAAATAAACCCCCAAAAGGCTTACCATGGCTTGTAGAAGTGTTTCTTAAATTGGTCGTTCTTGGACAAAGTACCCCAGAACTATGAACACTTGACAAATTGGCAGATTTCTGGTGTGTTCAAAGACTCACTCAACTCAGGACCTCTTCCCCTGCAGAATGGTATATGCATGGTCTTTCCAGCATGATTTTCAGTTGATTGACTAGCTAAACACCCAGAAATGATGTGGGTATTCTGATTTCTGATCTTTTCTCTAGACTCACCTCTTTCTTATCTAATCTCTCCATGTTCCCCAGAGATTGCTGCCTGTTATTTTTTTTTACAGTGCTGAGGATTAAATCTAGGTGTTGGGCATCATTTATCACTGGGCTGCACCCCCAGATTTGTCCTACTGTGCTTTCTATCCAACAATTCTCCTATGGGCCTTGCTGTGGATCCTTCTGCCCATGCTATCTTTCCTGCCTCCATATTGTTGATGACCTTTTCCTCAGCCCATCTTAGTCTTCCAGTTTTATCATAAGGCATCCTGATGTGTTTCAAATACAGAGGGAAATTTAAGGAGTCTTACAATCCATGTCTATCATTTAAGCTCATCAGTTGTTATTTGATTGAAATTTTTTATTTTCTTTTTCATTATTTCTTATATTAACTTTTAGACCAATACTAGTGATTTATGGACTCATATTTTCAATATGTTATCAATTATAAAGTATCCTGCTGAGTAAGCTGCCCAAACTATATTAAAAATGATCTTCTGGAGACCAGTCCTTAGTTCCTTTGAATATGACATTGTTAATATTATTAGAATGTCCATTTAAATTGCGTTCAAAATAACATTTTCATATTTTAACTATTCTTTATTTATATGTGGGAAGAAAACTATATAAATGATGATTAATGAATTACAATAACCATTTACTCCTGGTTTAGATCATCTAAGCAATGCTATTTTCTTTTTTGAATTACATCATATTTCTTTCCTCCATTCCTTCCACTCAAATCTCCCTTATTTGTATATTGTGGATGGATTCAATATGTGGAGGGGTTTTGAGTGATGCTGTTCCTGGCATTCATTTCTCACTTGAGTGTTTGGTTGGATATCTTTGTATTTTGTGTGAGTTGAAAATTTTCAAGCAGTTTGTCTTCACAGTTGGTGCAGTCTGTTGCATTTACAATGTGCACATTGGCAAACATACAGTCTAAATATGTAAAATATTTTCTATCTGTGTGGTAAGTGTTTGAATTTCAGTTGAATCCAAAGGATATAAAAGTCCTTGATGGCTTGAAAAGAAATCTGTGATATGTAGCTGGGGCAACTAAATTTACTTTGGTAATATGCTTTGCTGCATTTATTTTCAAGTGGCATGGTTTTAAAGTTATTGCAATAAAGATAAAGAAAGCCAAGGCATTCTGAGCCCAGAATTAGGAAAAAGAACTTCTGGAATTCTTTTAGTCTGTTCATATTTCTGACCTAACAGCAGCAAGGTGAGAAGTCTGAGGGTCACCTTGATCTGCTGTACATGAAGGTCTGTATAATTTCATGGATTATATCGGGCCAGCCTGCATTACTGCTGGTTCTCCATTTTCCCTTCAGTATTCTGAATCTGCATGCCCTGTGCATATGTACTGGGGGTATTTTAAGAAATTCACTGAAACATTTCCAATATCAATGTCATGCCATTTTTTTAGTGCCTGTTTAATTACTGATCATATTAAAAACATGACCATCAGCCCTGTAGTCCATGCCATAGCCTGCATGTGAAGTTATTCTCTGGGTTCAGGAAGCCTAATGGTTTTTTAATAGTTTGAAAAACTTCCCTTGTTTCCTGCTGTGCATTCAGTCAGAAGCTAAACACTCTCATTTTGAGACCCGCTGGGTTATGTGTTCAGTAACACAGTTGGCCCTGATTTCCTGAGATGGAGAGAGGTCAATTCAGAGGATTAGAAAATGATAGAAAAGACATTTAAGACTCAGAAAAGCTTAGAGAGACATTTGACTTGTAAATTATAGACCTTAGTTTGATATCCTGAACTAATTTCATATTATATTGTACTAGTATATAATAATATTATATCAGAACTCTTGTTTGCTAGTACTGTTTCTAATGGAAGACCTTTTCCTCCATTGTGTGATTGTTACTATATGGAGATTCTTTACATGCATCTCCTTAGATATGGGATTTTATCTTTATTGCTACTTCTGAGTCAAATCTCTTACGATATGTGTGGTAGGCAGCTAACAAATAATTGATTTAAAAATCAAAATGTGATTGCTAGTAGTAATTTCATCTCCTCAAGTCATATGTTCTCACAGAGTATGTTGCTTGGCTTCTTCATTTTAAGACAGATACACCTGGTTTTTTTTTTTATTGAGAAACTATACTAGAGAAAAGAGATTGTTTCTTTGCTTCTTTGATCAAAACATGTTTTATCATCTGATTCTACATTTCCTGTGAAGTTTCAAGGAAAGGAGACATACTTTACTGTTGTTTCCTTTGCAGTTGGAAAACATTGTTTATGAAAGTTAGAGAGACTGTCTCTATGCCTTACCAAAAAAAGAAAAATATATACTTCCAAACTAATATCAGAGTCATAGAAATGACTCCTTCCAGAAACAGAATAGTCAAATGCAGCATTGAAATGCTTTTTGTCTTTGCAGTTTTTCTGGCAACACTAACTTTCCATTTTCTGATGATATTAATGTGTGACGACTTCTGTTGGACACCCTGTGGGATGTCCAATGGCCAGTGCTGTAGGAGACCACTCACATGCCAAAGACTGGAATTTGTCACTTCTGTTCAGTAGCAATTCAGCCTGGAATTGCTACAAAACTTGAAAGAAATAAAAAACAAACAAAGAAAACTCTGTCCCATTCTGAAAATAAATAAAAACCACTTTCTTTAGTGTTTGCCAGTATTAGTATATTATTTGAATGCTTTGTCTTCTTCACTGTATGGATGACCATACAGTGATTTGCCAGGAAGTTTATATCCAAGGAAAGTAACAGTCATTTCATACACAGTTCTTACAGAACATGAATAGGTAGAGTTTACATCCTTTGAGGCGTTGCAATTATCAGGTATTTCTTAATATGTGTTTCTCCACCTTAAGAATGAAGAAACACACTTTATGTAGTCTGAGAGATAGGTGTACATGAGATTATGGACCAATATATCTGGGCTCCTGTTCAGAGGCTTGGGGACCAAAGTTCCAAGATTTAGAGATACAGGGTGTTGTATGTGAGGGTTCACGG